AATTGTGCTGTAAGATGTGCCAAGCCAATCCTGGCTTTGTCTATACTATGTTACGCTTGAGTAAACTTCTTTGCTGAACACACGTGTCACAAGAGTTTCTCGGAGATGAACGGGGTAAGCCTTACAGTAGATGCACTGCAACAACCCTTGGCAGCTTGGCATTCAGACAAATCAGCCATTAATAGATTTTATTTTATGTGGTACTTTATTTTAAAATTTTTACTCAAATAAGAATATCTGTTTTGTTTTCACCTCTAGAAGCTATTCGAAAGGTTGGGGACTAGAAAGATGCTGGAATGTGGATTATTTGAGATTTTGCACATCTCATTTTATTTCATTTTATACTGTCAAGAGATACATAGTTGCATAATTTTATATGCCAGAGGCTGGCTGAGTGCCACAGTACAGGCTACTTCAGTGGATTGGCAGGAAGTTGTCATCATGTCTCCTACTTTTCCTAAAAACATTAAATTTTATATAAATCTAATGTTTCCATATGGCAAAATATAGTTGAACCATTTTTTTTAGTCAAGTTCCTAGTTTATATGCAATCTTTTTGTGATACTCTGAGACAACTGAAGTTCAAAAGGATTTTCAGTTAACAATGCATAATGGATACCCTTTGCATTCTTTATTCTGTAGTCCGTAGAGCAGATACTTGGCTTTTGATGTATTTCTTAAGAACCCAGGGCGGAATGATAAAGGTGCAGATTAGTTTTTCCCAGTTGTACCACTGTGTAAAAAATATCTGAATTTTTTTTAGAAACAAAAGCTGAATCCCATCTATAGTTCTTTTAATGGTGCCAAAGCCAGATGGTTGAGATTATTATTGTGATTGGCCTCAGTTGTATTAAGCTTTCTGATTTATTTTATTTTTTTATTTATTAAATTTGTATGCTGTGCAAAAAAGGAACTGAGTATCTTGTTGGATCACAAGCTGACCAAGAGCCAACACTCTGAGGCAGCTCTGAAAATAAATGCATTCCAAGGCTGAATCAACAGTATAATATGAAGATCAAGAGAAATTACTCTTCCTTTCTGTTCTATATTAATCAAACCATGCTTTACCTATTGCACCCAATTCTGGACACTACATTTTAGGAAGGACATTGATAAAAGGGAGTATGTGTATGGGAGAGCAACCAAGAAGGCCAGGAAAAGAGAAAAACTGAGTATCAGTTGGAGGCACTGGGTATGGCTGTCATGTAGAAGACAAGGAAGGATTGTTCCGTGTCATTCCAGAAGACAATAATGGGCTTAAATAAGAAGGAAGCAGATTTTGTTTAGATATCAAGAATTTCCTAATAGTAAAAAGCTATTCAATACTGAAACAAAGTGCTTTGGCAAATGGTGGGTTGTCCTTTGCTGGAGGTGTTTAGACAATGAATGATACAGGTAGTCCTCGTCTTACGACCATAATTGGGACTGTAATTTCCATCGCTAAGTGATGCAGTTGTAAAGCATGATGTCATGCGACCACATCACTTAGCAATGGCAATCCTGGGCAGTCCCAGTTGCCATCATAACCCTAAGATGCATGGGTCATTAAGCAGGAAGAGGCAGGAGTCCCAGGTAAGGATGTCCATTCTTCAATGAATATTTGGAATAATTTGCTGGACTTAGCTTTGGCTTGTTAAGATAGTGCCAGAGTCTCAATTTGATTATCTAGTAATAGAGACCATTCAGTTATCACAATCATAGTTGACAGCTGAAAATGTAGTCCTTAACATCAGCAAAGGTCAGTTATCCTACTCAGAAGACTTCCTTTGACAATGTATGAAGCATGGGAATAATGATTTTCATTTGGAACAAAGCAAGTAGCATTATAGTTTGCTTAAAAGTTAAAAGAACTCTCTTTCTGAAAGCAAACTTGATAACTACTTGATTAGCCTCCAAATCAATAGATTTGACAAGAGAATAAACAGAGAGCTGTCCCCTGTGAAGACCATTACAGGTAGTCCTTGATTTATGACCACAATTGGGGTCAGAACTTCCATTCCTAAGCAATGCAGTCGTTAAGTGAGTCGCGCCCAATTTTACCACCTTTTTTGCTGCGGTCGTTAAGCGAATCTGTCTTCCCCCACTGACTTTGCTTGTCAGAAGCCCCCTGGGAAGGTTGCAAATGGTGATCATGTGACCCCGGGATGCTGCAACTGTCATAAATACATGCTGGTTGCCAAGTGCCCTAATTTTGATCAAATGACTCCAGAGATGCTGCAATGATGTAAGTGTGAGGAGAGTTTGTAAGTCACTTTTTTCAGCACTGTCATGACTTCGAACAGTCAAACAAACAGTCGTAAGTCAAGGACTACCTGTATTCCTTTTTAGTCTTAATTGTGCAGACCAAATATGTTGATCAAAACTTGTTTTAGATGGGGGGGCTGAGATGGGAGAGGGGGCTGCATCACTTCCATTTGGTTGACAAAAGACCATTTTTTTATTCCACAACTCAATTCAGCTGAGATCTTTGGCACCTGTCTCAGAGTTCTGCCTCTCTTTTATTATTCATTTGTGGTAGGGTTCTGTTATTCAGATAACTTCAACAAAGATTTTTTTTAAAGCTTCTAAACTCATCTTCTTTATATATGGCCTCTGTAATTGTTGAAAACTGGCAATAACTGTCCAAATGATAAGAAGATATTGGTGTGAAATTATTTCAAAGTCAGTTTGTGTCCTCATAATGACCCAACCTATTCTTTTGCCCTGTTGCTTTCTACCTGTTGCAGTTTCCTGTGGGGGAGCGAATTTTGTCATCCTACAAAAATTCACAACTTTCAGAACACAGTTGAAATGAGTAAAGACCATGATGGAAGCCAATACACACAAATGTGCAAGATCACTGCATTTTAAATGCAACTGACATTTTGAAACCCATCTGGGTCATTCACAGATAATCACAGAGTGGGTATGACAGAATTAAGGAAAAAGAACTAAGATGGCTAAAGGGAATTAACTGCTTGGAGAAAGAAAAT